AGGGATGTTAAATTCTTCCCCTATTTGGTCACTAAGCTGTCCATAGGCAAGATTCCCTGTCGTGTGACTACTTTACAGCTGAAAACTCAGAGCCTCTGGAGAGTCTCAAACCACTCCAGCAATATGTTGCTGTGGCTCTTGGTGACTTTCCCATATTGCCACTGACATATACCTTTGTCATTCCCAAAGTCCCTACAGTTCCAATTGCTAACACCTCCCACTCTTGGCCTAGGGCTCTCTGTCACTGCTAGACCCTTCTCTGTCCTTGTTTGGGGAAATTCAGAAGTTTCAAGGAATTAATGCTCCCCCACCCCAACCCAGATGCCCTCAACTGATAACCAAAATGAGAATTTACGCCCTCAACCGATAACCAAAATGAGAATTTAGGTGTAACTATTTAGCTCCCTCACTCCTTGGGCAGGATAATTTTGGGGTCTGTTTCATACGCTGGCTGCCTGGGTTTTCTAGAAGGATTAAACTCCCTTTGGGGTCTGTTTCATACGCTGGCTGCCTGGGTTTTCTAGAAGGATTAAACTCCAAGAGCCCACAGTGGTAATTTGCTTATGATATACTCTTTACTGATTTGCTTCCCTTTTCTGTCTTACTTCCCTTTAGGGTGTTTTCTGAGATCACCTCCCAAATAAACTACTTGTACAACATGGGTTTTTAACCTAGCATCCATGGACCAGCACCAGGAATCTATGCATTCCCTGAAATTAGATGCAACATTTGTATAACTATGGGCTTTTTCCTGAAGAGACAGGCCGTAACCTTCATCTGATTCAGTATGGATCCACAACCTTCCATAAAGATTAAGAACCAGTTATAAATAAAGCTTTTTATCCTGGGGAGTTATGATAGGACAAGGTCCCTTCTGGCTCCTCTATGTAAGCTGGCATCCCATCAGATCCAGCAGCATGACACATGCTGTAGGGCGTTGGCTTCTAGCAGCCCTGCCCTCCTTCTAACACCAGAACACAGAGTAACAAAGTCAGAACCCCTTCCCTGGAAAACTGTATGCGTTCTTCCAGTCTTTAGCTGTGAATTCTTAATGCTATCGATTTTAGATGCTTTCTGTCATATTTCCTATTGTCCTTTTTTGTGCAAACTCAGAGATTTTAGATGTGTTGCTCTTTATATGCATACTCTACAAAAAATATCCTCTCAAGTGCTATCTTTTTCTCCACCACAGAACAGATAAATGTCTAGTTAGTTCTGATCCCCAACAAACATAACTCTAGAAGAGAGATCCTGGAGAAAGCCAAGGTATTTGATTGCTAATCCTCAACCCAAACATTCATAATCTGCTAAACAATTATTGGCTACTTACGACAAATTAGAATTGGGGCAATGCGAGATTGATGCTCCTCGTTTATTGAACACGTGAAGTTCTTCTGCAGAAAGGTAGCAGCCATGCGCCATCACTGTCTGGAGAGAAGAGTGTCCCACATGGGCTTTACTGCTTAAAAATGCTTGCGTCAGTACTCACAAGACATTAGACAGAGGGAGAAGCGGTGACTCAGCTGTTCCCATCTTTACAAGAACATTTATGATCATCTGCATGTACAAAATCACTGGGTACAAGTGACACCTCAGAAAAGGCCTATAAAATCATTGTATTACAGAGGTCTCAGCAAATTTGTGGATCTTACTTTTTTTTCTTTTTGTTGATCTATAAAATAATGAGGGGTGGTCCAGGTGATCCATAGTATAGGTTATAAAAACATTGTTTTACAGAGGTCTCAGCAAATTTGTGGATCTTACTTTTTTTCTTTTTGTTGATCTATAAAATAATGAGGGGTGGTCCAGGTGATCCATAGTATAGGATATCCGTTCAGTTTGAAGATATCATGATTCTATCATCTCTACGTTAGAAAATTGTCAGGTTATTCTTTTCTAAGTCTACATGGTGAGCTACTGTTAGGGCTGTGCTTGTTCCTGTGTTAGCTGGAATGTTCTAGAAGTAAGTCTTCTCTCCTCAGTATGTGGAAGCTGTGAGAATGATTTTGCAGAGTTGTTCTTTATTTCTGCTCCTAATTTTAATACAAGCACCAATGGTCTTGACACATACAACCAAATTAACTTTAATTCACCCATGTTTTCATTTTCATAAAAATTAGAAGATGTACCATCTTATAAGCATTAATTCAGAAGGTAAACTTGATCTGAGAAAGCAGGTGCTAGACATATATGAGACATCTAAATTTTTAGTCTTGTGGGTTTTCTTTTCTTTTCTTTTTTGACAGCTGATCACACAGGGATCCGAACCTTTGTGTTACAAGGCTGTGCTCTAACCAACTGAGCTAACTGGCCAGCCATCTTGAATAAGACTTAACTCTTTCAAAATTCTTCTTCCCTTAGTACAAAACCTGTATCTAAATAGCTTTTTCTTTTGAGAGGCATAGTTCAGCGACCACAGAATAATTATTAAAATAAAACTTTCCCAATCTCTGTGCAAATAAAATTCACATGCAAATTGAAGGTTAATTTATTAATAACATGGAAAATACATAAAGAAGGATAAAAATTATAATGTAGCATTTATGTGATTTATGCAGAGTATTAACCTTTCAAATCACTCATATTCATTATATCTCCATTCACATAGTAAGAAATAATTTCTGCAGTCAACTCTCCATGCATTTTGTACATTTCATTGAAGGCCAAAGCCAAGGGGCGCATTGTTGTAGTAAGGTCTCTCTTCACTCATAGTAATTTTAATTAATTATAAAAGTAATACATACTCATTTTTTTAAAAAAGCAATCTCAGAGTGTTTAAAAATTAAAAGTAGAAAGCTTTCTTCCTCGGGATCATTTTTAACATTCAGTGTACATCTTCCAGACTGATTTTTCTAAGTGATCATGCACCTACAAATACATCTACATTAAACAATATAGAACAAACATTCTTCCTTGTAAGCCTGTATATCTCATTCTTTGTGAATGCTGGATTAGACTCTAATTATGTATGTTCTATAATTTAACAAATCCCCCACTGATAGACATCTTTAAGTTTCATATGTAATTAGCATCCCTATTCATATTACTTAGAGAATAGATCCTTAGAAATACATCTGCTTGACTCAAAGGAATGCACATTTACATTCTAATAGATATTTTCAAAATGTCCTTGGGCCAAATGACATTCCCACCATCAATGATGCCTTCAGATTTATTGACTCAGATGAAACCGCAGGTGCATTTTTAATTACATACACACACACACACACACACACACACACACACTGGGCTTTATTCTAGTTAGGGAAATGCACATGGCACAGAAGTCTGAAGATTACTACTGAAATTTTAAAATTTAGATAAATATGCCCTACTGTACAAAGATTATATCACGATATACAACTTACCTTATTTGTCAGAAGATTGTTCTTATCATATACATCTGTGTAGTTTTTATAACTGGGGTATAACTTTTTCACAGCTTCAATTTCGTCACGATTTTCACTTATATGGCTCTACAGGAAAAGAAACAACATTTTCAATTTTTTTTTCTGCAAAATGCCATTAAAAATACTTTCAACCTCAAAATGGTGTGGGTAGTTTCTACTTGCCTATGTAAGGGACCACATCGAAAGAAAGATTGTACATGTGTTTTATTAAAAACATTTATGTACATCATAGGTATTATATATATGACAAAAAACTGAATACGATGAACATGTAGTATGTGTGTATGTGTATGTGTGTGTGTGTGTGTGTGTGTGTGTGTGTGTGTGTCTGTACAATCTCAAGACAAATTTTTCCAATAAAATCTTTTCAGATTCCAAACAATAGCAAGAACAAATATAAAGTACTCTTTGGAGACAGCAAGAGCCTAGCTATTTGTGGCAACCTGCCTCTTCTGTTGTTGGCCTTTTAACAAAAGAGCTCAGTGGCCATCATAAAGACATTCAGAATGATTTGCTCATAGAACACTGGAATCTGAGCAAAGACAACTGAGTTTTAGCGCATG